AGGTCTAGAAAAACATACCAGAATCCACACCGCCATTAAATCTTTATCAGAGAAATAATATATGTTCACTTACATTTTGATTGCTGTGTCACACAGTATAAATACAAGTTGTGTAATGTAAAATACAATCAAAATTTAATAATAATTATCATTACAATAATAAAGTAGTATAGAGCAGACTCATCTCCGCTGGCAGCACCCGTTCACGAGCATGACGCATGAACCAGCCATCGCTTCGCTCAACCATATTTTAGGGAACGTAACGACCCGCCTCACACGACACCGCCGAAGAGATTTTTAAGAGAGCATGACTACCCATAACCACTAAAACCAATCTGCAAAATGGTTACTTAGAGTTAAGGTAATTTATCTGTACGACACTGCAAACAAATACAAAACAATTTTGCAGTTACAGCCATGCAGTTTTGTCATTCAAGTATTCTTTAATAGTATAATAGCCTTTCTTAACTAAACAACTTTTAATGTGACATTTGAACTCATTTATGGGTAACTCAAGAACAGCATCAGGAATTTTATTGTAAAAATGTATACCTTGACCCATAAAAGATCGGTAAAGCTTCTGTAACCTGTAGGCTGGCAATGCAAGCTTGTTTCTATTCCTAGTATTAAAATTGTGTACGTTACTGTGTTTGGTATACAAATTGATATTATTTTTAACGAAGAGTATGCAATTGTAAATGAATTGAGAAGCAACAGTCAAAATTCCAATTTCTTTAAATTTTTCCCTAAGAGATGTTCGGCTACTCAATTGATAAATAGATCTCACAGCTCTTTTTTGTAAAATGAAAATACTTTCAATATCAGCTGCTGTTCCCCAGAGTAAAATGCCGTATGATAAGATACTATGAAAGTAACTAAAATATACAGTCCTGGCAGTATCTATATCAGTAAGTTGTCTTATCTTTCTTATGGCATAAGCTGCTGAACTAAGTTTACCAGCCAAAAGCGTAATGTGATGACTCCATTACAGTTTTGAGTCTTTCGTTATACCCAAGAATGTAGTCGAGTCTACTAAATCTAATTTAATTCCAATATGCTCAACTTTTACATTAGGTAAGGAAAATTGAATACACTTGGTTTTATTAGCATTTAGCTTTAGATTATTGACATTAAACCATTGCAGAACCTGCAAGAGAGCATTATTTACATCGTCATAGTTGTTTTTGCGCCTGTCAACGTTAAATAATAAAGATGTGTCATCAGCAAATAATACAATCTCACACAAATTTTCCACAAAAAATGGCAAATCATTTACATATATTAGAAACAGGAAGGGACCTAAAATTGAACCCTGGGGAACGCCCATTTCCACATGAGATCCAGATGATCTAACACCATTTACCTCTACAGTTTGTATTCTGCAACTGAGGTACGACTGTATCAATTTATATGCAGTACCTTTGACTCCATAATGACTCAATTTCAATAACAGCGTGTGATGATCAACGCAATCAAAAGCTTTGGATAAGTCGCAGAACACTCCAAGGACATTCTGCGACCTCTCCCAAGCCTCCAATATACTCCTTACAAGTGTAACACCCGCATCAGTAGTAGATCTACCTCTAGTAAAACCAAATTGTTTCCTATGCAAAAGTTTATTAAGGTTGAAATGAGGCATCCATTGTTCCAGAATAATTCTTTCAAATATTTTACTAAGAACCGGTAATATTGATATAGGCCTATAGTTTCCAGGGTCATTTCTATTTCCTGATTTAAAAAGAGGTATAACTTTACTGTATTTCATTAAATCCGGAAATACTCCTTGATCAATACAGTTATTAAATATATCAACTAGATAAGGAACAATAACGGGTATTATACTTTTAATAACTTAAGTAGAAATACCCCATAAATCACTTGTATTTTTTTGTTTAAGAGATTTAAAACACTTAATAACATCAATAAAATTAATATGTCTGAACTGAAACACGTTATCACACCTAGGTACATATTTCTCGAGCAATGTCTTGGCAGCCACCGATGAAGAACTCAAATTAGATGTAGCCACCAAAGGAATATGAACGAAATATTCATCAAAAATATTAGCGATATGTTGTTTAGATTTTATTAAAATGTTATTCGACTTAAGTTCAACAATATCGTCACGTGACCTTTCTTTGCCTGTTTCACGATTTATAACATTCCACGTTGTTTTGATTTTATTATTCGATTTACATATTTTATTTTTAATAAAATTAGATTTGGCTGTTGCACATACCTTTATAAAGGTTTTAGAATAATATTTAACGTAATCAATAAAACCTTGTGAATGATTATATTTTCTTAGATGATACAATTCATAAAGTTTGTTTCTACTTTTATAGATACCAGTCGTAGCCCAGTCACAGAACTGTAACTTCGGAGTAAGTTTCGAAGTTTTTAAGGGAAAAGCCTTATTCGTGTCATTACGTGCTTAAAGTCTATCGAATGTACCTTCCTTGTTTCCTAACTGGTAGAGACCTGATGGATATGCTCATACCAACACACATAACATTCCTGGGTGCTGCACGTCCTCTATCAACTTACAACCTGTCCGTCGTGATATGGTAAAAACAATGAATGCCCAGAACGCGGCATGGCTTTTCTTCATTGACACAACGCGTTGAGATCGAATAGCATGTCAGCCACGACACGAATTTCGCTATTTGGTCTTTTTGTGATTGCCACAACGCGTCGTGCGTGTTTTGATTAGAGCCATAACACTAATTTCGCCATGTGGATGTTTTACTGTGACCACAACGCGTTGTGAGCTATTTTTCCGCTCACTGAGCGTTTTCGATCTTTGAGCGTAACATATACAACATGATGCAATAAATGAATATGAATATTGACCGTGGGCTTGCGTTGTTCAGTCCGAGTGCTACGTTATAGTGCATTCCCATGGTGCGTGATTCCGCGAATTATCGCGCGCACGGCTGTAGGTCATTCTTATCGAAGCCATCTTGTTAGGGTTTCCAGATCTCTCGATTATAGGAAGGATTCTTAAATAGCAGAGCAATATTACTTGTCACAACTGTTCTGCTATGATTCTATGAAAAGTTCCGTTCCACATCTCGAAGAACATGATCATGTAATTTTTTTTATGGGATCCCCTTGGGAGTATGCCCTTGCAATTACAAAAGATTTTCCAAAATTGGCCTATAATTGACGGAGAAATCGCTTTACAGACATACACAAAAAAAAGGACGGGTTGCACTCCGGGAGTGCCGGCAGAGGTGAAAACTAACGTAATATAACGTAACGTATATATATATATTAACGTATTATTATTTATATTAATGTTGTGCATTTTTGATATTTTGGAATGGTTAGGGAATAATTTTGCACGAATTGCTTTAATTTATCAGTATAAAAGTACTATCATTTATGTGGTAGAATATAATATTTATTTATTGCGCTATCGTACACAAACATGTCAATTTATATTACATTAAAAAAGTTTATCTCTCAGAAAAATCAACTTACATGAATCGCGTTTAAGCGTACTTAGCGACATCTATTGTAAAGAAATCAACTTACATGAATCACATTTAAGCGCACCTAGCGACATCTATTGTAAAAAAATGCATTTTCTTCGCAATAAAGCTGCCACGTGGACGTCCTAGATAAAGCCTTAGTAATATTTAAATATTACTATGTTTCGTCCAATATATTGAAAGTCAACAACCTTTCCAATTTTATTGTGTGTCATGATGCGATCAGCCCACGTGTTTAACCTGACGCGAGTTTAACATTTTTTACCCATACAAAAAAAAGTGTACAACGCCGCTAAAGAAGTTTTCACTTCAAAACCAGATAAGTTAAATTCCTTCTCTTTTTTGAAGACGGTTGAAAATAAGACAATGGGAAATGGCGCAGCCAAAGTTGGTCGGTTGGTCAAGCCTTAACCTGAACCTCCGCAATTTTTCAGCCACTCCTTAATTGATTACTAATTAGGCCGCGTTGTTCCATCCATAGGTAGTTAAATTTGACTATGTCACGTTAAATACATATGTACCTAGGAAATGTGTAAAATTATGACAAATTGCTATTTTCTCTCAAGTATTTTTAACTATAGTCAAATGTAGCTACGGCTGAAACAACGCGGTCTCAATCTCGCCGCATCCATCGAGTATGTCCGCGAAAGGTCGGAACGCAACATGTGATTCGGTCTAGTGTTGAGTAGGACTTACAAGAGGCGGTACATTTGTGCCGGACATGACGTCAAAACTTCACATTAAATGTCTGAGAGAAAGCGAGGCATGACATTTCATTTAAGTCCTCTACGGTACAGTGTACCTATCTCTTTCTTATCTTAGTAGTCTGTGTCACAGTGCGACAAGGATCTCATCGCATGACAAAAACTGGAAATAATGCTGTCTCATTGTGTTTTCTATAATTAATTTGCAGTACAACGCCCTCTTGTCAAAGTCATCCACACGCCAAATAATCCTTGTCACTCGCACTGGGTTGCGTTCAAAACCTACGTTCTAGGTGTAACAAATATCTAAGTTGACATTAGCTTCATACATTTGTCAAAATTTAAACGTCAGGGTAAAAGTTGCACTCAGAGCGTAGGTATTGAACGCAGCCCAGGGTTGCGTTCAGAACTTACGCTCCAGGTGCTACTCGTGCACACATACGTAATGTCGAGCATCTGTACGCCTCAATGTCATATTTGTACTCGTCACTTCAAACGTATTGCCGAGCTTCAGTACGCCTCGCCTCATTTGAAGTGGGACATTGTACTGGCTCAGTACAAAAAAGAGGCTACTCTTACAAACTCTTTTTCAAGTCGTGTCCCTACCCTAATTCGGTCCGTTCGGCACAGAGGTCGTTACGCGCGGCGCATCGCATCGGGGCTGGCCCTGTCGGCGGTGGGGGACGCGCTGCTGGTGTTCCCTTGGGGGCTGGCGTTGGGCATGGTAGCGTTCGGGGTCGCGCACGTGGCCTACCTCGCCGCCTTCGGCTTCCGTGCGGGGGCGGGGGCGGGCCCGCCCATGTGGGGGGCGGGGGCGGCGCTGGGGGCGGGCGCGGTCGCGTTCGTGAGGGGCCTGCGCCCGCCCCCGGAGCTGGCGGGCGCGGTGCCGGCCTACGCGGCGCTGCTGGCCGCCATGGCGTGGCGCGGCCTGGCGCGAGGCGGGTACAGCGCGCCGGGGGCGATGCTGTTCCTGCTATCCGACGCTGTGCTCGCGCATGCGCTGTTCAATGGACCCGTGCCATACGAGCGGGTGAGTCGACATTGACACGCGCCCCCCCAGCTGGCGGGCGCGGTGCCGGCCTACGCGGCGCTGCTGGCCGCCATGGCGTGGCGCGGCCTGGCGCGAGGCGGGTACAGCGCGCCGGGGGCGATGCTGTTCCTGCTATCCGACGCTGTGCTCGCGCATGCGCTGTTCAATGGACCCGTGCCATACGAGCGGGTGAGTCGACATTGACACGCGCCCCCCCAGCTGGCGGGCGCGGTGCCGGCCTACGCGGCGCTGCTGGCCGCCATGGCGTGGCGCGGCCTGGCGCGAGGCGGGTACAGCGCGCCGGGGGCGATGCTGTTCCTGCTATCCGACGCTGTGCTCGCGCATGCGCTGTTCAATGGACCCGTGCCATACGAGCGGGTGAGTCGACATTGACACGCGCCCCCCCAGCTGGCGGGCGCGGTGCCGGCCTACGCGGCGCTGCTGGCCGCCATGGCGTGGCGCGGCCTGGCGCGAGGCGGGTACAGCGCGCCGGGGGCGATGCTGTTCCTGCTATCCGACGCTGTGCTCGCGCATGCGCTGTTCAATGGACCCGTGCCATACGAGCGGGTGAGTCGACATTGACACGCGCCCCCCCAGCTGGCGGGCGCGGTGCCGGCCTACGCGGCGCTGCTGGCCGCCATGGCGTGGCGCGGCCTGGCGCGAGGCGGGTACAGCGCGCCGGGGGCGATGCTGTTCCTGCTATCCGACGCTGTGCTCGCGCATGCGCTGTTCAATGGACCCGTGCCATACGAGCGGGTGAGTCGACATTGACACGCGCCCCCCCAGCTGGCGGGCGCGGTGCCGGCCTACGCGGCGCTGCTGGCCGCCATGGCGTGGCGCGGCCTGGCGCGAGGCGGGTACAGCGCGCCGGGGGCGATGCTGTTCCTGCTATCCGACGCTGTGCTCGCGCATGCGCTGTTCAATGGACCCGTGCCATACGAGCGGGTGAGTCGACATTGACGCACACCCGACGCGCGGCGACGCTACACTTTTCCCCCTATATAAATAGTGTGGGTAGTTTGGAAAGATCCTTTCGACTTTGCATTTTACTGTGATTGATCGATATTAAGATCATCGATCGATACAATTCTCTATGACATTATTATCGAAAGTAAAAGATGAGGTATATCGATTGTTAAATTTCTTCATACCAAAAATGTACTAACATAAATGATACCACATTTTTTATGTTGATGTAAATGTTTTTTCATACTTTTTGTAATACTCGTGTCATATGGTTAGTAAAAAAACTCAGTTTGACTCTCTCTCTCAAATTAATTCTATTTAACATTTTATCAAAAGTATGAACAAAATTGGTATATTATTTCATGTATCTAATCAATTGAAATCAGGATCAAACATTGACATATTATCTTGTGTACATGGCATTGTTTTTGTGATGAATTTCTATTTCACAGCCCCTCGTCGCATCTCAAATTTTTAATTTTTTACCACAGTTTTTTTGCATATTTTTTATTAAATCAGCCTTATTTGAAACAGATACACGGCTATAGGAACATGTTTACCAATTGCATATGTTTGTATCCAGGTGCTAGTGATGTCTACGTACTACCTCGGCCAGCTGGGCATAGCGCTCAGTGTACTCGACGAGGAGCGCAAACATCTGCAAATAAATAAAAAAGCGTAAATCTGCCAAGAGCGCCATATCGATGCCAACGTCGCTCGACCGATGGTAACCTGTCTGGTGCACCTCCACTAAACATGCCTGGACAACAGGTAAACGCTATCACGGTAATAATATCATACAGTATTCTATCTTCATACAAACGGTCGGAAAGCGAGTCATACCTACGCCACTCGAGTTCGATGGGCTCTCGGCGGGCACCCAGTCGCGAATGCGCCGCCGCGCCGCAACGACGACCGAACGGTGCGAATTGTTTTTTATGCCGTTAGCCGTGCTTAATCGTGCGTTTTGTATTGTAAATATTTGATTGAATTAAGTAGATACCTACATAATTTAGTATGGAAAAGAACAAACGATGATCAATATCGTACAACAGCACAATTGCTGTTTTTAGTTGCTTTAACTCTTCAATAACACACCCAGAGATATAATTTTTTAAATTACCTGAAATATTGGAAAGGTGACTTACCTTTATAGAACATTTTTTATATACCTATCTACTAGTACGTAATTTGTTTCTAATATTTAGGTATTTCGATTTTTCCATCGGGCAAAATATCTGGAATAATATATAAATAAGTGGTTAGGATGAAAAAAGAGACAAACGAGTAATCTACCTACACTCGCGTTAAAAACAAAACTACATAAAATACTGAACGCTGGCGGCCCTACCGCGTGCTAACGCAGCGCTCGGCCGTAGGCATTTATTTTAAGGACAGGGCGGAGTCACAATACTGTATAGATAATATTACCGTGACGCTATCATGTAAGATTAATCACTACTGTATCATAGATAGATCGTTTCCAGTAAGGGACAAGCTTATAAGATTAAAAGATTGAGAGAAAAAAAAAAGAAAAGCGGTATAGAAAAAGCAACTTTGGTCATGATAAGGAACAGATGATAAGAATGTGACAAAAAAAGTGAATAGGAATGAGAGAGGAAGACTGAGGAAGAGAATAGTAGACTGCGGTAGAACGGTCAAGTGACGGACAAATTAATGAATGCAAAGATAATTTCCGGTCCAGAGCCATGAAACATATTTTTCTCTTATTTCTTTCTTGAACTCCAATAATTAAAGCAAAAGACAACCGATTTCTACTTATTTACGACGACCTCCGTGGCCGAGTGGTTTGTACGCCGGGTTTCATGGTGTCGCCGACTCGAGAGGTCCCGGGTTCGAATCCCGGTGGGGGCAGATGTTTGTGTGATGAATACGAGCATTTGTACTCCAGTCATGGATATTTAATATCTATTTCTATATAAATATACTTATATATGTACAATATATGTATTCTATCCGTTACCCTAGTATCCCATAACAGTCCTTATAGTGCTTACTTTGGGGCTAGGCTAATTGGTGTGAGTGTTGGAAATATTTATTTATTATTATTTATTTATTTCAGTTTGAAATTAATCCATCGTAAACTAATGAATAATTAATCATTTAGTAAGCATGATCATTTAAATATATTAAATCATTATTTAAGTAAATTTGCTCACGGCAAGCAGTAATGGCTCACTAGAAACGATATATTTGTTGATTATTGCCAAAAACAATTTTTATTGTTTTTACTTCAAATATGATAAAGCTTATCTCTTACTGGGAGTTTACTTAAGGACAAACAGTGAAATATATATTATTGTCAATTTTCTGAAACATAGGTATACTATGTTTTCCTGTTTGAATTTATTAGCCTTACATGTGCTCCTGCAGTTGGTTATTATTTCAACAATGCATGTATGTAAGCAAGAGATTAAGGATGTTTATGCGTCTGTTTGTTGCATTAAGCCCGTCACAGACGTAGCTATAATATATATTAATATATCGAGATATATATTATATTACAGCAAACTACCACACACGGGAGCTATACCATAATATATCTAATATATAAAATTCTCGTGTCGCGGTGTTTGTGGTTAAACTCCTCCGAAACGGCTTTCCCGATTCTCATGATATTTTGTGTGCATATTGGGTAGGTCTGATAATCGGACAACATCTATTTTTCATCCCCCTAAATGTTAAGGGTAATCCACTCCTATTTTTTTTTTAATTTTTTTATGATACATCATACAAAAATACATACATCCCTAAATTTTCAACTTTCTACCACCAACCCCTATTTTTTATGGCGGTACGAAGTTCGCTGGGTCAGCTAGTATTCTTATATATTTTGGCAGACGTTCAGTAAGAAATGGAACATTCCGTATCATAAAAATATATATATTAATATGCCAAAATATACCGAGATATATCTGTCGACATATTTTGGTGACGCCATTGAAATATATATTATAGCTGCGTGTGCGGTCACTCGAAAATTTATATTGAAAATATGTTGTAATATGTCTTGCTATGATTCATATTAATATATATTATAGCTTCGTCTGTGACGGGCTTTATGGAACAAATATGTGCAACTTCCTCACATCGAACCAGAGAGACGTTTTATTTCTGAATATGAGCGTCGCATCTTGTCTTTAGATCTGTAGTTGATAATTTTCCGCCTTTTTTTATCTGCCTTTTTATCTACACAGATGGGAATCTGTGTTAGTTTCAATGTTATGTAAAATGTTAATTGAACTCTTCAACATTTCGTATAGTATTTTGTGTAAAACGGTTTTCTACGTTTTCATTGTAAGGAGCAATGTATTATGCTGCGTTTCCACTTGCGCTCAGAACAGCGAGCAAGTGTTCGTTCGCAGTTGCGTTGTTTCCATTGATGCGATTCAAATAAGAATAGGAAAGCCAATGACCTCTATCTGTCAAATGTCGCTTGAAAAGTACGGTTTGCAAAAAAAAACTTGGAACTCTTTTTTAGCACTCCGCTAATTCAAGAATAAAAACCAAACATTTGTAAACAAACAATAACAAATATTGATAATTAATATCGGTTGATATTTTTTTTCACTTATTGAGCTTTGGCCATGAATGGTTGATAACCTAAATCGTCCATCAAATGTCACATTAAGTTGCGTTCAGAAACTCGATTTCAGACTTTCGTTTACATAAAGGATGCATGTTCGTATGTGACCTAGTAATAGTGCATGATTATTCATGACTACTCCGGCGGTAATGCAGAGATGAGCGGAATACAAGAGCTAGATTCTGATTAAGGTTTTTTCTCACAGTCATAATAAATAAATATTATTAAAAATCGGTGGTTTTTGTTTTCTCAATGTAAGTAAATTAATGTTATTAAAAAAGTCTGATTCTTTTTCTCACTTAATCTTAGTAAATAAGTTTTATTAAATAAAAACTTTTTTTTGCCCACTCTACCTATTTGGTTTGAATTGACAGCTTTGTTGACATCACAATATGGCGTCCAGTCGGTCCTATACTTAGTTGAATCGCATTATAGAGAATACGTTCCCCGAGTCCAGTCAATCATCTTTGAACGAAATCGTGCGCTCGTTCTAATTTCTCCATTTACCGGGCGAACAAATATTGCTCTGGCTTGTTCTGAGCACAAAGAACAAACGCTGCATTACACACCTGCGTGTACGCATCAATGTTTAGTGATTATATTTGTTAGTATAGTGCTGGTAGTGGATATAATCTTCCTGTATTAGGGGTTAAGGTAAAATGTATATTTATGTATAATGAAGGTTTGATGGAATGTATCGGCTCAAGAGCCCACGAGAGCACAAGTCAATGAACGGTCTGTGATAAGTGTCAGTTACTGTCTTCTCACTAATCAGTTATAAAATGTTATAAATTCTTTTAGATCGAGTTACATACAGGGTGTAAAAAAACTTATGACAAAGACTTAAACTACGCATTGTGTACACCCAAACAAGTAATATTACGAAATATTATACGTGGGAAAAATATGTATTTTTAAGTTAAAAAAAAATCATTTTTTTTCCAGTACGAAATGTATAGCGCGGCGCGCTACTGTGGCGCTAAGCAAAGAATGTGCCTGTGTGTATGTGTGTGCGTGTGTATAAGTGCGTCGATAAAAAGTTTCTAAATATCGTTTTGGAAATATTAATGTATAAATCTTGAAAAAAATATTTTGGCTTTGACCTTCAATATCTCCATAACCATAAACTTCCCAGGTATGGTCTAGAAGAAAAAAATTATCGTCATGATGTGGAAAATACGAGGCTTTCGACTTCGTTATAGGTTTTTTTACACCCTGTATAACACATTCGGTTCGATAGCAACTGCAGCTAAACAATGTAAAAAGAGAAAATTTGCAGTTGCTTTTATAAAGATCAGTTGAAAATGTTATGTCTAACTTGTAGAAACTTTATTTGTTATTATCAATTTGTAAATTGGTAAAATTGTTTTATAAGGTAATTTAAAGTGTGCCAAAATCTAAACTTGGTCGTTGTGGTCGTGGACCGACCGACTCTCGTTGCCACCTTAATGGAATTGATTTTACTACGGAATGAAGTGTTTATGATCTGATTCTGCGCGATAGTTATAAGTATTGTTTTATTTACTGTTTTTAATGTGAACGTTGGTTTAAATAACGATGACAAAGTCCCGTACCGCCTGATGAATGTGTATAAAGGAAGGTTTTTTAATAAATCTAAAGAAAATATAAGTAGAAAAAATTCCACGCGGGCCAGGCAGCAGACGGGACTCGAACCCGCACCCTTCGCAATCCGGGCGGATGCACTGACCAATTATGCTACCGCGGCCCTCACGGACCGCGTCGAAATTCTTCTAGCCATTCTTAAGCTGCAAGGCAGCGCCATCTCTTCGCATTATAGGTAACCCACAATGTCACAATGTTCGGGTTACGTCTGCTGCCTGGTCCGTGTGGATTTTTTTCTAGTTATATTTTCTTTAGATTTAAACGTCAAGCAGTTACATGCTTTAAAATAATAAAAATAAGGGATTTTTAATAATTTTAGTACATACTACACACGTAGCTTCAAAACGATTGTCGGATTTAAACAGTGTTGCCAGGT